TCGAGTTCTTTTGGTGATGATTGCGTCATCATCAAATAACGAAGTTATTTGATGATGATGCAATTATCATCAAAATAGCTCGAGTTATTTTGTTGGTACGATCATAGTAAGGTGCCGGATAAGCTTTTTTATTCGTGCTGACTTAATGCACTCGGACTTTAATCAACCACACTGCTAGAACTGGAAAAAAAAATTAAGATATGTCCATTTACTTTTTACTTACGATGTTTGAAGATATAATTACGCGCGTTTGAATGGACTAAAGAAGCTGAAGAAACTTACTATATTGGATTAACTCATTATAGACGAAGTTCAATAAAAGTCCAGTCTTGGAAGTTAGGTATTCTACTCAAAATTGGCTGTTAACTGCTAATAGCACGTGACTTAGATTAAAAAAAAATTTATCGATCGATTAGCATTTCCCGAGACAAGTCTAGACTTCCCGAGAAACTCGTTAACTCGTTAGATTATTGACAGCAATGCTTCGTACGTGCCGCTTATCGAGCTCTCTTAAACTTTCATTAAGTCGAACCTATGCTAGTGTCGCTGCCTCACCCGTGACAATTACAAAGTCTAAAACTGGAATTACTGTCGTTTCGGTTGAAGGTGAAAAATGTTTCTAAAAGTTTTGGCCTTCCAAATACTCGATAGAATTCGTCAACATACTTTGGTGGAATTATAAAGCCTGAGTAGCTCCTGTTTTTCATACTCTGAACTTTTATACAAATAATAAAAGATAGTGCCCCTGCCTCTTCTGTCTCCCTTGTGGTAAAGGCTGGTTCTCGGGAGGAGGGTACTGATAGTGTCGGTGCGGCTCATTTTTTAAAGAATTTTGCCTTTAAGGTAGGATAAATATTTAATTAAATTTGATCCATAAAATGTTATATATGACATTATATCGTATATCGACAAATACTAAATGAATTCGTCCTTTACTTCTTTTTTTATGTTTTGATATAATTTTAATCATTATTCATTAATTATTCAAAGAACACGTCGACGCGAACTGCGTTCCGCACCGCGCGTGAAGCAGAATTGCTCGGTGGCTTCCTATCTGCAAATTTGACAAGAGAAAATTTAATACTCTCGGCTGAATTTTTACGCGGTGACCTGTATGTAATATATATTAAATATATAGAATATGTTATTTTTTAAATTCTTTTGAATTCGAAGCTTTGAAGGTATCAATGTCAAGATCATTAAATTAATTCAAGTAATTCATTCAATTTTTTTTTTTGATAACTAATTAGAGGTTACTTTATGGAAATTTTATCCGATATTATTTTCAAAACAAAATATGAGCCACATGAATTTGCTATCATCAAGGAGAGTGTCAATTTTGAAAGAGGTGCTGCTGCTGCTATTCCTGAAGTTACAGCTTTGAATGCTGCTCATGCTGTGGCTTTCCGTCATGGCCTTGGCAATTCTTTATTTGCTGATGGTGCAACAAAAGTTTCAAGCAGCTCTGCTGTTAGAGCATTTGCCAATAAAGTTTATACTTCATCAAACATCACGATTTTGGGTACTTCTATAAATCACAATGAGTTATTAAATCTTACAGATTCATTATTTCAAAATATTAGTCATACTGTTCCTCCTACTCCAATTTCCTCAAAATATTTTGGTGGGGAATGCAGAATTCCTGCTCCTGGTGATAGCCATTTTGTCCTTGCTTTTCTAGGTGCACCTATTGGTACTCCTGAATACGCTGCCCTTCAAGTTTTACGTTTTCTCATTGATGGCGAAAAGAGCACCAAATGGGGTGAAGGTGTCAATGCATTAGCTCAAAAAACAAGTAAGCACAATGATATAAAAATTAGTTCCTTCAATACTGGATATTCGGATGCTGGTCTTTTTGGTTTATATATCTCGGGAACTGCTACGTCTGTATATTCCGCTTCCCGTGTCGCTGTCGAACAATTAAAACATGCCGCAAATAAGATTTCAAATGATGATTTCTTGCGAGCTTTAGCAAAGGCTCGTTTTAATGCTGCTGCATCTTATGAGACACGCACTTCTAAAACAGAAATTATCGGTAACCAGGTAATCACTCGTAATAGGTCAATATTTAATGAGTTGATCATTGTTCTTTGTTAGTATTAATAATTATATGATTAAATTTATAGGTTTTGTTTTCTGGAAAAGTCACATCGGTGACTGAAGCTATTGCCCAATTTGATCGGTTCAAAGTTGAAGACATTCAAAACGTATGTAATTTTTTGAAGTCTTTAGCCTCACCGGATTCGGCTCTTAAAAATTTATTAGGGCTGAATCCGATAAGATAATTTCTTATTATCTGGTTTGATTTGACGGATACAAAGGTATCGGCAGGATAATAGCAAAAGCACGCCTCGCACGTTGTAATTATACTGTCGATGTCCATGATCCGTATATCATGCCAGATAACTGGTTTATCTGGCAGGTAGACGTATACACTTATGGAAAGAATTTTATATTATTTTCGCAGATTTTTAAAGATTTGTCACATAATTTTAATAAAAATTTGCGGAAATAATGTGAAATTTTTTCCGTCATTGTTTACATAGTACCTGCCGGATAATAAGTTAACCTCAGGAGCTTTGGCGTCGTTCATTTAAATATTAGTATGTTTACTAAATTTCTCATAAATAAATAGGTTGCGGCAAAGATTCTTAAATGCAAACCTACTGCAGTTGCACTCGGCGATATCAGCACTTTGCCGTATTCTGATAGTCTTTCTCTCTAGCCAACAAAATAAAAAAATAAAATTCACATTATCATAGATCATATGAGTGACTTTTAATTAAATAAATTCTGTTTATTTATTCGATTCTAAATAATACTTTATGAATTTGCCAACAATTTATGATGGCATATAGTTCTTTATATTTCAAATTGCAGAATTGAAATACAAGCCCTCAAATAATTTTAAATATCCTGCTGTATTTCATCGCAGGATATTTTTTTCATGTGGGCAATAAAAAAAGTTTTAAAGTCAACATTTTATCCTACCTGCAGATTTTTGCTTATCGTTAGCTTGTAGGTCTCATTTAGTTGACTACAATCGCAAATTTAATTAATAGTATATGAACTCTAAAAGCAATTTACTCGACTGCTTTTTATTTTGATTATAAAAATTGTTTTTTAATTTAGAATCACGAAGGTGAATTTTACCGTATATGTTTTGGATGATTATTATAAAACTTTATAAAATTTTTGATTTAAAATTCTAAAATTAAATTAAAATTAGAGTTAGAAGTTAAAGTTTGGGTTTTTAAAATGCTAAACATTTTTACTTAGTATTTAAAACACTAAAGCCTTGTTTAAAGAAATAGTATATCTGATAAATTTTATCTTTGGTGAATATTAAAAAGTTTTTGTAATAAATTAAATTAAAAGCTTGGATAAAGCATATTATATTATTTTAATTTTTTAAAAATTACTTTTTTTTTTTTTTTTAAATATTAAGATGAGGCCTTGCTCATACTTTATTGAATAATTTATATAAGTAGTTATATAATAAAATTACATAAAAAACTTAACTTGTATAATAACAAATAAATATAAATTATATGCAAGAATAGGAGCTTAGACTAATTATTTATTTGTGATCTAAATCTACTAAAGTGGCCAAAACTCACCTAGATTTAAAAACTTTATACAAATCTAGGTGAGTTCTAGATAAGTATAAAGTTTTATAGGAGTTCTATAGGATATATAAGAGGTAAATTCTTTGTAATATAATTAAATTAATTTAAAAAAAGTTATATTATTGGTTTTAAAGATAATAGTTATAAAGAAGTAAATGAAAATAGTAATAAAATGAAGTAATTTGTTTGTTGTTTTGGTTGTATTTAGAGTAAAATAAAGAATAAATTGAAGAAGATTTAAAGGTTTTTAGTTGTATTTCAGAGTAGTAAATTTTGTTTTCTTTGTTTTAATGAATTTTTTTATTTTTTTTTTAAATATATTAAGTAGTCATGGTACAACTTTATTTTCGGTATATAGAGGTTACTACAACAGTTATCTAATAACAACCATTCCTGTTCTGATTGCTAAAGTGCGACTTATATGGTTTCCAGTTGGATCTACATATAACTTGCCCAAGTAGAAGCAACCTCCTTGCTTCTTCTAGATCTATTTTAGATTTCGAATTTACAAATTACTAACCAACTAGGATCTACTAGCTCATCTTGACTGCTTCTTTTTTTTAAAATTTTTTTTACTTAGATTTTGTAAAAAGACTAATTTCTAATCCATTTACAATGAAAAAAAACAAAAAAAACAAAAAAAGAAAGAAGATAAAAGGAATAAATATAAAGGAAGAAAAAAAAGAAAGATAGAGTATATACTAATATAAACAAAAGAAAAAAAACAAAGATAAAAAAAACAAAAGCAGGAAGTATTAAAACTCTTCTTGACGATCACTTGGACCAAAATTTCCTACAAAAAAAAAGTCAAGTTTGGATACTGGAGAAGTAAAAAAGACCTATAGTAGGTGGACAACAGTGCGGTTTTTATAAAGGTCAACCTTTCATTTACTTGTAGGGACTTCTTTATATATTCGACATGCAAGCCGAAAGCATCTTTATACAAGATAACTGGCTAGGGATGTGTATCCTTGTATATGAAATTTTGGTGGAGATTATAGCATTTCTCTGTCGACGAAGCAACCTGTTGTGAAATAACTGGGGAACAGTGAAGAACTTACTATTCTCAAGCCACACTATTTTACTCGAACAAGTGACTCATTTCTTACTTATTTTTACTTTCTTGCCGGTCTTCCAAAATTTTTTCAAAAAAAGTGGGGATTTGGCTTACTCCTTCAAAAGATCGGCATTGTTTACATTCCAAATTCAGATAGCCTATTAGACTGCAACCACATGTTCTACGAATATGGCACCTCTATACAGGATCAGGCCCTGAATAAGAAACCCCTAATAAGGAAAAAGATACTCCTAATGGCGGCAACAGATGGCTTAAGATATGGGTCTACGGACAGCGGCAGCACCTGGCTTGAGATACGGATTAAGATGGGCTGGAGCGAAACTATCCAGAGTATGTCGAATAGTTGGAAAGAAAAACCCAACATTAAGGCGAAGCTTTATACAAACGTTGCTTTTAGTATATAATTTTTTCAGCCTTGCACAGGTTATAATAGTGCACCCCTTTCGTTTTTGTATGTAGGTCATAACTTTGACATCTTTTCTTTTGTTTTTTCTATCTTTTTCTTTTTTTATTTTTATATCGTTAGTGTGTATTTTACCCTCTTTATTATTTTCCCCTTTATATTTGTTTCTTTTTTTCCCTTTCTATATTTGTTTTTTTTTTTGTAGTTTTTTTTTATTGTAAATGAATTATGAGTTAGTTTTTCTACTAAGATCTAGATAGAAAAAATTTGAAGAAAAGAGGTAGTCATGACGGGCTGGTAAATCCCGGCTAGTGATTTGTAGATTCGAAATCTGAGGTAGATCTAGAAGAAACAAGGAGGCTGCTTCTGCACTTGGCAGGTCGCACATAGGTCCAATTGGAAACCGGGTGAATCACACTTTAGTATAAGGCGGCACTGGCCGTAAAACTTAGATAATCAATTGTAATTTCGCTCATACGAATTGCTCTTTCATAGTCTTAAGTAATAAAGTTGTGGTATAACTGCTTTGACACAAAAAAAAAAAACAAAAAAAAACAAAAAAAAAAGTCAAAGTCATAGCTTACAAACAAAAAGAAACAATATACACTATTATAACCTATGCAAGGCTTGTAAAAATTATATAACAAATCTAAAATTTGTATATTTATATTGTAAAGCTTTGCTTTAACAATTAATATTTCCTTCTGATCTATGTTTTATTCTAAATATATTTACAGGGTTTGTTCTAATTCATATCTCAAGCCAGATGTTGCTACTATCTGAAGACCTATATCTCAAGCTATTTGCTGCCACTATTAGGAGTTTCTAGTCTAGGACCTAGCCGAATATAGTAGTGATACCTTATTTAAGCATGTGGTTGTAGTTTGCTATCTTTTCTCAATTTGAAATATAAACAATACTAATCATTTGGAGGAGGTAAGCTGAATTGTTTACTTTTTGTCGAAAAATTTTGTAAAGCCAGTAAGAAGGTGAAAAAAAGTTAAGCCACTTGTACCTTTATAGAGAGAGTGAGTTTTTCTTTATTAAAAGAACCGCAATCTTAAACACCTATTGAGGCAGACATACAATACTTTTTTTTCAGTGAGTAATAAACTCTGAGCTTGTTAGCAAATAGCATATGAGAACTATTTCTAAATAACAAGTACTACTGCTTTTGCAATGAGTAATAAACTTTAAAACTGTTTGCAAATAGCATTTCTAAATAATAGCAGCTGATTTACTGCTTTTTTCCAACTTATAATAACACCAAAGTACACTCTTGTTATGTTTTAATAAATTAGTTTTCAAAAAAAATTTTGGTAAAAAAAAGTTTTGATGAAATTGTTATTAAAAATAAAAGAATAAATAAGTTAATTTTATAATTTGGTTTTGAAAAAAATAAAATAAAAAATAAATATTTAATTGATAATCCTCCAGTCAACTGAAGCATGATCATAGTAAAATGTGACTCAGATTACTATATAAATTTACTATGGTGTGAATGTGGCATATACACATCTAAAACTTTTTTTTATACTAAGTTAATCATCTTTCTTGCTTAAGAGACTTTTGTAAAGCTTGTCAAG